GGCCTTCTTGGTCGTGCCTCGAACCCTGAACTTGCTTTTTCAGTTTGGTTTTAGTCTCCTTTGCTAGCCAAGTAGCTTATTTTACGCATAGATTACGGGATTTTTAAAAAATCGTACATATTTGCATGACATGATTTCTCAGACACATCTTTTGTAGTTCTTATTTATGTTAGAAATTAGATAATCTTTTCTTGGGGGAAGAAAGCCCAAACGTAATGAGCATTTGTTAGAGTTTTCCAGAGATACAGATCCCCACCCCACTCTCCCCCCAAAATGGTGGATTCTCTGTTTATATTCTCTGATATTACACGATCATGCGGAATAGCAGGTACCACCATCTGTACTTAACACGTTAAATTGTTGGAGAGCTTAGGATGTAGTCCTTCTACTTATTGGAAGTGACTCCAGACCCAAAGCCTGTGGACCAGGAGAGCTAGTGGTGCAGTTCCGGTCTGTAGGTTTCACTGGGAGTGGGGTGGGAGCAGGAGAAATTGTTCCTCGAACCCAAAGGCTGCCAAGCTTGCTGGGGTTCCCCTTATTTGGAGAAGGATGAGCCTTCTGGTGTTCCCTTCAGGCCTCCAGCTGTGATTGGATGAAGCCCACACCTGTCAGGGAGGGTGACCCCGCCTCACTCCCTCTGTAGGTTGACTGGAAACATCAGTGGTGGGATTGTGTTCTGAGCTATGTGTCATCTCTGTATGACGGTCCTAACACATCATTACACCACCCTGGGTGAGTGGCCTCCCGGGACCACAGTGGTCTGTGCAGCCCTCGAGTGGCTGTAAATGTCAGATTCCCCCAGAAAGCACAGAAACACTCAGGATAACATTCGAACAAATAGTGCCAAACTGCTCAAATAGAACTTTACACATCTGCCTTTTTCTTTCTAAAGGCCAAAGAGGTGAATTCAGCATAGCCAACAGCTGGGGACCAATTTATGATCTGAATAACATTATTTCAGACAAAATCTTGATCTCTGGAGGCGTTAAGTATTTATAGGAGTTTTGTTAAATGATTTTTAGCTCCTTGTCGACACTCTTCTTGCTCTCTCTCTAACCCTTTTGTCTCCCCACTTTTTAATTTTATTTTTCCTGGCAGAGCAATTGGTACTTCTTAGCTCACTGCCTTTCATTTGATTGCATTCACATTTGAATGTTGTCTGTAAGCTCATCAAACACTAAAATAGTACTGAACCCTGACTTTTGAAATGGTACATCCTGTTGCTGGGTCCTTGTGGCCTTGTCCCTGTGTCCATTCACAAGTGCCCCTTGAAGATCAGCTGTCCCCAACTTCTCTCTTGAAGTGTCACAGCCTCGTGAGTCCACGAGTTCACCTTCGATGGAATCAAGATCTTTTAAAGTCTTCAGTCCCAGGAGCCTGAGAGACAGTAGAGCATGTAAGATGCCTGCCTGGCATGCGGCTAACCTGGGTTTGATACCCAGATCCCATATCATCCCCCCCAAGCCCAGCCAGGAATGAGCTCTGAGTGCAGAACCAGGAATAACCCCTGAGCTTTGCTGGGTGTGGCCCCCAAACTGAAATAAGTAAAGTTTTCTGCCTCATGCAGGCAGTGTTCCAGAAAAAGGAGTGGGGCAGATTTCAGCAGTTAAGTGCCTGCAGCTTAGTGAAATTCACAGCATCCGGTGGCATCAGGGTTCTGGGCAGGATAAGCCCAGATGATTATTCCAGCAGGTGACCTTAGCCCTGCTCCCAAATCCCAGAGGTGTCTTGCCTGCTCTGTTCTGACTCCTGTCAGCCCCTACTTTAATAGGTTGCCTTGGACCAAGACCCTGGTGTGGGCTGGGAGCTGGAAACTCAGGAAACCTGCATTTATGGTGCCTGGAACGTGTCTTTTCTTGGGTGGGGATAGAGTGTCGGGGCCTCACACAGCAGTGCTCAGGGCTTACTCCTGGCTCTGTCCTCAGGATCACTCCTGGTGGGCTCAAGAGACCATAGGGGTGCCAGGACTTGAACCTGGTTCGACCAGCATCCGTGTTATCTCTTGGGCTCTGTGTGCTCGTTTTCCTGCACAGACTCATATGAGGCATGGCTGCGCGATGATGGAAGTCATGCTTATGGGGGGTGCTGGCCTGTGCAAAGTTGGGGTGCTGCTCCTTACCCAGAAGCACCCAGGCAGCCTAGGGGACCTGATCTGTTTCCGGGAGGGGAAGGGGCTGGGCTGTGTTGATTGAGAGAACTTGCCCACCCCCAGAGCTTGGGGAGGGGTCTGTGATACCAAATTGGCAAGACCTGAGAATCCGGTGGCGCCTCTAAGTAGGTGGGGGTGTCTTTAGCAGGAAGAGCATGCGTGATACTTACATAGGACCCTCTGCCACCTGGTTTGGAGCATCTGCAAAGGAGTCTTGGTTTGAGGGGAGCCTCTGGGCTTCACTCTGGGTTTTTAGTTGTAATAGTTGAGTTGTCTTGAAGACGTCTCATCCTTGCCATAGCTTGTTTGAAGTGGCTTATTAATAGGAAGTAATATGTAAAAATCATATTATGCGAGGATATTATACTGATTAATGATGGGGATTATAGTTAGAAGAAAAGGGGAAAGAGGGATGGTGGGATGGGCTTGTAAGATAAGAAGAGGTGGGTGAGACCCTTTGGGAAACAAGGTGTCTTGCTCCTGGAAAGTGGGCAGTGTGAAAGAACATCTAGAACTTACTTCTTCTATTTTTTTTTTCTTTTTGGGTCACACCCAGCGATGCACAGGGGTTACTTCTGGCTCTGCATTCAGGAATTACTCCTGGCGGTGCTTGGGGGACCATATGGGATGTCGGGGATCGAACCCAGCTCAGCCGCGTGCAAGGCAAATGCCCTGCCTGCTGTGCCATTGCTTCAGCCCCAAACATCTAGAACTTCTACAGCAATATGTGGGACCATGCAGAAGAGAGAGAAAGAGAGAGAAGAGTTTGAGAAGAGATTGAGAGAGCGAGCGAGAGAGAGACAGAGAGAGAGAAGAGAGACCAAGAGAGAGAAGAGATTGAGAGAGAGAGAGGGAGAGACCAAGAGACCTTTCCTCTGAAGCCTCAATTCCCTTGTGGGAATCCAGGCCCGAGGAAAGGTCATGGGAAGATAGTGCCATTCTTGAGGTCTCTGGTGACCTTCAGGCAATTTCCTTCCCAGACCCCTCTGGGGTCCTTATCCTGGGAACCTTGCCTCTGAGCTCTCAGCATCGTGCTAGGAAGGAAAGGCAGCTGCTCTGAACCCCCCTGTACTGCCAGGTTCCTTCTAGAATCCACCGGAGGGCTAAAGCATGTCCCTGGAGTGGGAGGCCGCCGGGTGAGTCACCTTTACAAGGCAAGAGAGTTCGGCTCGGTTGTAAAGCAAAGCCCATCGTGCAGGTGGACACGTCCTGGCCCGTGACTCACAGTCCTGATTACACATGAGCGCCCTGGAGAAGTAGGGGTGGAGGGCGCCCTGCTTCCCACACCCAGTCCCGACACCTTCAGACACTTCCAGGGAAGACCAGCCCTTCAGCTGGGGCTCTCAGACTGGGCCCAGATTTCTCCAGGGATTGTCCCTCCTGGGCTTCTGCCAAGGGTGACTTTGAAAGGTCCGCACCAGGGACAGCCCCAGCCAGCAGGGGGCCAGAGAGGCACCTGTTTGTGGGCGCTGTGGCCGCTTCTTGTTTCAGGAGCTTGTGTGGCCCTGGAATAGTTTGATGTACCTGGACAGCACCCTGCTGGGCGGACCAGGTGATACTTGGGTAGCCGTCGAAATGGCCCTGGGCACGGGGCTGCTGTTCTTTGGTTTTATACTGGTCAGTTCCTGTCTCCAGCCTTCACTCCCCACCTTGCTCCTTCATTATCAGATTTCCTGAAGATCAGAACATGAGCCTTTGGGTGTTGCGTTTAGTTTCCTGGTCCTCTACCTGAAGTGTAGGGCTTGGAAGGATGGGAGGTGGTGTTGTTGGTGGGCTCGTCCTTCAGACGGCCCTCTACGACTTGAGCTAGTTGGAGCTACTTCCTGTACAGTGGACAGAAAGGGCAGAGGCCGCTTCCTTCCGAGAAGACAGCGAGGGTTATATTTCTCTGCAACTGGCACTTCTAGGACCCTGAGTTGTTCTTTGACCACCCCCAACCCCACCCTCAGCCCCCCTCCCCCCTGAAACTCTCTCCCATGCAGGGAGCAATAGTGACCATCTGGTTAGGCAGGTGAGTCCACACAGCCGCACCAGGAGCCTCCCGCCACCCGGGCTGGTGTCCCCTCTGCCATTGACTTGCTGTGTGACCTTGGGCACGCTCCTTGACGTCTCTGAGTCCGTTTCCTCCTCTGTGAAAGGGCCTGGCAGCACCTCCCTTGTACTGTGGGGACTGAGACGTAGTGGATGGACATGCATTGTCCGGTCTGGAGCCCCCCAGCCCCAGAGCAGGCATGGGGGGGTGCTCTGCAGGGAGGCACTCTCTCTGGACTGGTGGTCCACCCCCCTAAGCTGCTACTGGCTATGTGAGCTGTGCCCTGCCAGGGTCCAGGAGTGTTCGAGAGTGACATGTGTGTGTCTGTAGTCTGGCCTGGGGTCAGGGCTGGATAGAGCCCCAGGCTGTTGTGGAAACACCAGCAATGGCCACTTTTTGGGGCGGAGTGGGGGGAAGGGTGAGATATAGTGTTCTTTCACATGGTTGAAACTAAGGTGATTCCAGCAGGTAAGTCGAGCTAGAGGAGGATGTGCCAGCTCCCAGAGGCAGGAGTGGGGGGTCAGGGGCAGTGGGGGTGGGTGAGCAGGGCGGGGTCAGAGGGTGTCATGGAGGAGGAGGAGGTGGACGAAGAGGAGGAAGAGGAGGAGGAGGAGGAAGTGAAGGAGGAGGAGGAAGAGGAGGAGGAGGCGGCCCGAGAGTTCACTAGCAGGCCCTGAGCTGGCCGGTCTGCAGGGAGGTGGACGAGTCCTGGGGGCCCTTTGGGAAGCCCCCTGTGTCCTTGGTTGGTGTTGCAGAGAAGCGGGGTCTGGGTAGCAGTTGGGACGGGGGCCTTACTCTGTTCCCCTTTCTTCCTGGCAGCAGTGCCCCTTCCCTTGCTGCACTCAGGGACATGACTGTCAGCACTTCTGCCCCCCCTCAGACTTCACTCTCAGCACCGCAGTCTTCAGGGACATGAAAAGGAGCCACTCCTTACAAAAAGTTGGGGAGCCCTGGTGTCTGGAGGTAGGTCTCGGAGCAGCGCGACGGTAGGAGACGAGCTCGCTCTGAAACGGAGGCGCCCGGCCCGGGGCCTTCCGGAAACACCTGGTTCCCCTGGCATGGGGCTTCCCTGGGTTCCCGCCGGGCCGTGGCGCTATCAGGTGCCACGATGTCTGGGTGGACTGACCACGGACTGGTTATCAGCACCATAAAGAGGCTGGTTTACGGGAGAGGGTGGTGCTCCCGGAGCCCGGGGCAGGCCTCGTGGCCCGTGTCCCCAAGGATGAACAGCTGGGCCACCCTTCACCTTGACACCACAAACGATTCCCACAAACCATGCCCACTGCCCACTCCCGGCATAGGAGGAACCAACCCGGCCCTTCCACGGGGCCCTGTATTCTCATTTATGGAGAATTCAGATTTTCCCCTGAGGAGGTGGATACTGTCCTGAGGCCACCGAAAGGCGGTGCCCAAACCCCCACCCTGCTCAGGGTTGGTGAGGGGCAGCGCTGTCCAGGTTAGCCATCCCAGAGAACGAAGGACGTCTCGAACAAACACATCTTCCATCTTCACAAACACAGAAGTCAATGCAGATTTTTTTAAGTGTGTGTTTTTTTGTTAAAATTAATGCTTTAGATTTAAACAGCAAAGGATTTCGTGTGCAGACTAGATTTTATTTTTATTTTTGTTTGAAGGCTGGAGTGATAGCACAGCTGTAGGGCATTTGCCTTGCAAGCCGCCAGCTAGGCAGAGCTGGGTTCAATTCCTCCGCCCTTCTCGGAGAGCCTGGCAAGCTACCAAGAGTATCTTGCCCGCACGGCAAAGCCTGGCAAGCTACCCGTGACGTATTTGATATGCCAAACACAGTAACAACAAGTCTCACAATGGAGATGTTACTGGGCCCGCTCAAGCAAATCGATGAACAACGAGAGGACAGTGCTACAGTGCGACAGTGCTTTGTTTGAAGGACAGTTAATATGTTAACAGCCAGTGTAGGGGTAGGCAGAGAGAGAGCCCAGGGGTTACTGCGCCCACCTTACATGAGGTCAAATCCAACTTGATCCCTGGCATCCCATATGGTTCCCAGAGCACTGGAGTAAGTCCTGAGCACTGAGCCAGCAGTAAGTCCTGAGCATAGCCGGGTTGCCCCACAAACTAATAATAACTTTCTTTTTTTTGCATTTTGGCAATTTTGGGCTGGAGGGATATCACAGCGGTAGAGCATTTGCCTTGCACGCAGCTGACCCGGGCTGACCTGAGTTCGATTCCTCCGCCCCTTCCAGAGCCCAGCAAGCTACCGGAAGTATCTCACCCACACGGCAAAGCCTGGCAAGCTACCCGTGGCGTGTTCGATATGCCAAACACACTAACAACAAATTTCACAATGGAAACGTTACTGGGCCCGCTTGAGCAAATTGATGAACAACGGGAGGACAGTGCTACAGTGCAGTATTGACAATTTTATTCTGAATTTTAAGTCTATTAATAATTCCAAACTAAGGGAGACCACTTCACATGGCACATTAAAAATCAATTCAAGAGAGATTTGATTCAACATAAAAGCATAAAAATAGTGTCTCTTTTGTTTTCTTTTGGAATAATGCTTTTTGTGTTTGTTTTTTCTTGCGTGGGGGCATACCTAGTGGGCTCATGCCTGACTTTATCGTCAGGGATCATTCCGGGCGGGGCTCAGGGGAATGTATGTGGTGCCAGTGATTGAACCTGTGTTGGCAGCATGCAGGGCAAGTGCCCTATCCACCATACAACCTTTCCAGCCTGGATAATACTTCTGACCTTGCTTTCAGTAAAGAGTTCTTAAATTATAAATCAATAACCGTTAATAGTAAAGGAATAAAACTGGTCATATAATTATATCGATATTTCAAAGTTGTTGTTTTCCAGAAACAATTGGGAGAGTGAGAAGTTCGGTGATAGAATGAGAATATTTATTTGCAACATATATATATAACACACAATTCTACGTCGAACATTTGAAAACTTCCCGTGTATCAGTATAGCTGTTTTTAAAGGCTGGTTAGGACTGCCTCTGTCTTTCACGGTCATTTCTCATCCTCGCTTTGGTGTTGGGGGCTTGTTGCGTGTTGATGGAGAGTCACAGGCGTCTGGACGTGGGAGCGTGAAGGCACACATGCCACCTTTGGAGAGAGAAGGGATCAGAGATGTCTTTGAGGCGGGGTGGTTTCAGAAGTAGCACATAGCCACTTAGGAGAGAAAGGCCTTTAGCAAATCTAAGCACCCTGAGCCCCCCCTCCCCTGAATTGCTTGACTATTTGGATGCGGTTCTTTCTCATCTCTCTCGGGGCTACGTTGCAGAAATCCTGACACAGTTGGAATGGTGCCCGTGGCCCTTTCCCCCCCACCCAAGAAACCTTCAGAATTCTCCCGTGGGTCATCATTCTGGGAGTTGCTGGCAGGCATGAGGGTGGCCTGGAAATCCATCTTTGTCATCACCTCCTTGGCCCCCTAGGGCCAGCCACATGGGAGTACCTTGGAGGATGTGTCTGAGTCTCTGGACCCCGGGATGATGTTTGTGCCTGGACCACCCTGTGTTTGTGTGAAGCCTTGTTCTCTCTCGGCCCCAGCAGAGCAGAGGTGGAGTGGGGGTGGGGCGGCCTGGGTGGGGTGAGGGTGGGGGGAGCCTCGCCACGGCCCCATGGAAACTTCTCGACAGTCCCTCCCTGACCACAGCGTTCATGCCGCCTGGCCTGCATGATAAGGCCATACCGCACATAGCTCGTCCTCCACCAGGGCCGGCACGGAGTCACTCATTAATCTCTGCTCAGAGTTATAAGGTAGATAAAGGACAACCAGAACCAGCCAATGTGTGAGAAAATGAAACAGAAAGCCGGGGACCCTTTCCTAGAACTCAAGCTCCCTGGCACCAGTGACCGCTAGGCTTACTTATGGCTTTGCCAAGATCCCTCCTTCTTGCAGGCTGGGCCTCATGGGCCGGGCCTTGGACTCTGGGTACCAGTTTGTCCAGTGGGGATAGACCAGGCCCCACAACACCCCCAGTTGCTGTGAATCTGACCCAGTGAAAGGGAAAGGTGAGGGTGCAGGTGGCCTGCACGATGGACCTGAGACCAACCGCAGGGGTGGCCGGCCCATCGTTCCTATGCTCCACAGGGTTGGTGTCCAGGGAAGTCAGTTCTGTAGTTCTTCAAATCAAGGTGGTGTCTTGCCCAAATAGGACCCGGGGAGCACCGTGGAAACCACACGCCCGGGAGTCCAAACTGAATTGAAACCCTCAGTTTCTGTGGGTGTTTGGCTGTGTCTGTAGAAAGGAGGGGGCTTGTGCATCCCCCTACTTACGAGGAACCCCCAAAAGACTGATGGCAGAGGGACCCAACATAAGGTCCTAAGGCCCTAGCATGTTGGTCGATGTTCTCTCTTCTAAACTTCAGGGCAGTCCTGGAGGGTAGGTGCAGGGAGGGAGTCTCTCTGCAGCGGAGGTGAGGAGGTTCCGCAATACTCTGAAAATCACAGGGGAAGGGACTAAGCTCCAAGCCCCTGAGCTGTTAGCTGGCTGTGCATGACTTCTTCTCCCACCTGCTCCCCCTGCTAAGGAGAACGTACTACATCTACTAAACATCCAGCCTGCCTGGGAGCTGGGCCGGACAGTCTGAGTTTCACTGTGTACAAAACACCCCAGGTCCTTCTTGCCCTTCTCTCTGGAACCTTCATTGTGGCGTCTCTCCTTGTCCGTCCATTCGGCCCGAGCCTGATCCTTCAGCCCTCTCCTTGGGCAGTGCGGGTTGGGAGACCAGTTGAGTAAATATGACTAAGAAAGTCAATACCCACCTGAACAGGCATGAGTCACTTCTTACTAGTTACCTATTCATGTACATTTGAAAAGCTTACCATACAGAGTCATTACATTGGGGCTATTAACATGTTTGATAGTGACAATCATAGGGTGTGACTCAAGGCATAAATGCACGGAGATAAGAAAGAAAGTGTTATTTCCTATAATTGCTTAGTCAATACTATGTTCATGGAAATGCTTGCAAACTAATTTTTAAAATGGTCTTTGTCTGGAACCTTCTTTCCTATCTTGCTTTCTTCCTCCTTTGGAGTTCTACAAAGGCGTCTCTATGGGTGGGGGAAGGGAAGGATTCTCTGTCCTCTTGATTTGTGTTGCCTCACCCTTTTGCCAATTTTTAAATTTCATTTTTAGGGAAGTGTGTGTGTGTGTGTGTGTGTGTGTGTGTGTGTGTGTGTGTGTGTTTGGGAGGAACTGGCTTTTGCTCAGCAATCTCTTAACTCTCGGCTTTTACACTGCGGGAAACAGAGACTTCTGTTCACTTGCAGAACTTCTCACACAGACAGGGAGTTCACCATTTTGCTGGGAGGAAATGAAACTTTTCTTAGGTTTATTAGACCACATCCTATAAATCTGTGGCTTATTATATGTCTGATTTCTGAAAAGCATGGCATCACGGCTGTAGTTTTATTTTTGCTTGTTAGTCATTTGGAGCAAATATAGAGATTACTTCATTTCCTTAGTACTCTGTGCTTCAGTACATGTTATGTATGGAAAAAATCTGGATTTACACAACAAAGTACGCTTGAAGGGGAATATTTACTGTATGAATCTCCGCATTGAAACTTGGCGTTAGAAGCATTTGGTTGAACGAAACTGCTTAATGTGTCTTCTCACTCTCGATAACGTAGAATAGGATGGGATGAGGAAGCAGTGAGAATGGTTTCTTGGAGATAAAGCGACTATTTCTTGTCGTCTTTGAGATGTGTCTTAAAATCATAGGTGGGAGGCAATTGTTTTTGCTTCTTTTGCATCTCTTAAAAGAGAAATCTTTTCCCCATCTGGAACAGAGTCTCTATGACATCTCAAATGGGGGTACCCCCTAATGTGCGAAGGTGCTGCCTCCCTGCAATCTGATTTTTCAGTTTGATGCCCAAGCATCCCACCTGAGAGGCATGAGTTGAAGATTTCCGCAGCAGAGCGGACATTTCCTTCACACCCTCCTGGCATCGTGGAACCC